ATAAGCGATGGAATATTTTCCAATGAGAAGTATGGGAAAATATTCCCCTGCTTGCGAGCATTGGAAATTGTGTTTTCCAATGGGAATTGTACTAGAGTTTGCGCATTAAAGTCGAAAATTTGACGAAAGACCACGCGAAAGACTAAGACATAACCAAAGATTATTGGATATCTTGGATTTTTGGTGAAATTGTAGTTAAAACATTTTTTTTGTTTATAAATTGATATTATTTTATTTATGTGGGTATATTATTTTTACCTCTCTTTCACTAAGAAACTGATTTTCTTAAATTAGTTAGAAATTGTGGGAGCTGCTAAGGGACTGGCAAATAGGTAACACAAATTGAGAAATTTGTAGTAAATTTAATAAGACCTTTTCGAAAATTTTATTATTTTCGTTAACGAAAGAATTTCTTATATATATAGTTTCTCGAAACTTTCGTTGCTCTTCTATACAAAAGCTACTTTTTCTTTTTTCAATATGTGAAAAGAAAAACTAAAAATAACTCGATAAGTTTTAATTATACATAATCGAATATTTTCACTTGTCCTCGGTCAAGCTAGCGATTGCTCGGTACGGCATCTAGAGGATATATTGTGACGGCATCTGCTCCAGCGCAGAGGCTCGGCAGGTAATCGGTTACCCAAAAACCACAACAAATACAAATAATACCAACAGTAAATTTTAAAATATCTTTAATGTTATTGGTTATTTCGAAATATTCGTGAACTTAATATCAGACATACGTGAAACTATTATTTCCATGGGAATGTCTATTCCGACAAGTTCGAGAATTGCATAACCTATTACCATGGGAATATAAGTAGTGGAATCTTTTCCCATGAGAAAATATTGTTTCGAAAAACATAACCTTTTAATTGTGAGATCACAGGATAGCTATTCACTAAGTCATGGGAGCGCTCCCATGGGAGTGCTCCCATATATTTTGCTCTCTTACTCTTAGGTGGGTATATCGTGCTTACTCACTTTTAGCCCAGGTACATGCGTAGTAAGGTCAGATTTTATACTATGGGAGGGAGAATTGCGGGCTTGCCAGATTAGGTCCGTATTTATCACAAAGCAAATTTGAATTACTAAGGGCTGATTCCACCGTTGAGTTAAACGGAGATTAAAATGACATTGTTAATGTAAAAATGTCATTTTAAACTTCGTTTAACACAACGGTGGATCGGTCCTTAAATAGTAGATCAAAGTTATTCTGTCGACTTGGCAACGTTGGCATGGGAGTATGGGAGCATGGGAGTGTGGGCGTTCTCCCATGAGTTAGAGAATAGGTATCCAGTTTAATAGGATTTACCTATACGTGGCAAGGGGCAATCTATGAATTTCAATTTCTTTTTTCGGGCCTCTCGTCTATAATATATTTTTTGAATTTGTTTTTATGTTGCCTTGCTATTACAAGTAATTCTACCTTCAAGGATTTAGGAGGATTGATATTTTTAAAATGAAGCCATTTTAAAATATCTTCTTTTTTCCTTCTTGTTCTAGGTAGTGACTCCTTTAATCGACTGTGATAGGATGCATTATCCAAAACATTTTTTTTTATAAAGTTTTTAAACCAATTTTCAAACATCCCAGATAGCACAGGACGTCCCATGGACGTCCTGATTTGGTCCCTTGTTGGTCCGGTTGGTCCCGGACCTAAATAGGACGTCCACTGGACTTCCGATTACAGTTAACACTAGGACGTCCTTAGAAGGACGTCCTCTGGACGTCCTATTTTGGTCCCGTTTCGACAAAGCGTTTAGTTTTCGGTCCGAGTCCGGGACGTTAATGGGACGTCCAAGGGACGTCTATGGGACTTTGTATGCACTAGCATCGTTGGTCTTTGAATCGATAACTTGAAATTCAACGTTTTGATTTTGCAAGAGTATGAGGACAGAAAACCTAACCTATCATTTATTTTCAAATGAGCAACAATAGCTACAATTTTCGGCATTTAATAATTAACTTAAATAAGTGAGTTAGATTAACGAAGAAAAAAGGTTATGTAGTGTTATTTGTTATTTTTTTGATGTTGGTGGTAAAGTATGGTTATAAAGTGAAGTGAGTGTTTTGTGTTGATGTGAGAATAAGTGATGTGTATTGTCGGTAGCCGCTGGCGGAAAGAAAATACCTTAATGGCGGAAAGTTGGAACAAAACTAATTTGTACAAAATTATAATACTCAGTTTTGTCGACACAAGCTATAAGTAGGACCCAAGGTTTCATCTTGCCAGCGCTGTGTGTTAAATTTAATTAATTCCTGTTTTTTTTTTGTAAACTGAAAACGTTTAACTCTAGCTAGGTTTTTTAGGATAAAAGTTGTTAAATAAAGCTATTTTATTGTTAACATTTTTGTTATTATTACCCTTTATGGATTATGGTCAAATATCGTCCCTCGGACGTCTGATTTACGTCCCTAGGACGTCCCGCAAAGGTCCCTATGACGTCCTTTTGGGATGTCCCAGGGACGTCCCTAAGATGGACAGAAACGGGACATTAGGACGTCCATGGGACGTCCGATTGACGTCCCGGTTCCAAAATAGGACGTCCCTCGGACGTCCTTTATGTCCCTAAAGGACGTCTTTTAGACGTCCATAAGACGTCCGTGTGCTATGTGGGATAGGTCCATCCATTTCTTTATGGTAGTCTTTTGATTCCTTTGACTCAAACATTAATAAACCATCTGACAAAAATCCATTAGTGCTTCCAATGTGGGTTATTATTAAACGATTTCCTTTTCTTGTTGGGTTTTTTAATCCACAAGAGACCCCTTCCATAAATGCTTGTTCTTTAGTTTTGATAGAGGTATCTTGCCAAATTTTTGTTACTGTATGTCCAGCATTAACCCATGTTTCATCTAAATAAAATACCTGTTTATGCTGATTCCTTGCGTTCTCTATTTTCTGACGAAATTTTGCGAAGGCAATGTCAAAGACGGTTCATTATATTTGCATTGAATGTCCTGGAAAACCTTATTTGTGTAATGGTAATGAATGTTTTTATAAATTGCATAAAATTGGTATACCTAAAATGTTTGTTTCTTGTCAATAATCAATTTTGATACTACCCAAACGTAGGACTTTATTTTTGCAGGCCATTTCTTACGTACACTTTCCCAGGCCACATACTTACCAGAACCACCAGAACTGTTCGTATTCAGCGAAAATTTCATAATGAACCTGAGCGTCGATATGTCACACATGGCAGTTAAAGTGTTAAGACTGTGTGCAGAGCTCGATTAATTACCTTAATATTTAACTTTTAAGTTTATAATTCCCGATTCTGGTGAAGGATCCTGAGGTGCGAATTTCATAATTTTAGCACTAATATATTGAAGTAACTTACTTTTTATAATATTTTAACTGAAATTAAATATGGAAGATTAGGTTTAATTTGCAATATTGTGACTGATTTAACCTAACTTTTCATAATTTCCTTCCATAAAACTAAAAATAAAGTAATTCATGAAATTGTCAGTTCTTGGTACATATGGCCCTCGAGTTTGCAACAGTGAATGGCCGAGTGGGGAATCCTACCAAGGCATGAGAATTAATTTTAAATAATTAAATTAAATAAAAAAATCCCGGCCAACGGTGGGATTCGAACCTGGCACCCTTGGATCCGCAGGCAGAGACTCTACCACTGAGCCACCCACCCACCTGCCATAGTATTTCTGTTGATTTTTATCACTGTCTGATAATTTCCAAGTTTAAGATTTTTGTTTGAATGAGAAGAAAATATAATTATTGGTTATAGGTGAATTACAAAGCAAATATATTATTAATTATTACATTTTCGTGATTGTATTTGTTAAAAGTTCACGCGCAGCCCTCTATGACTCCAGGTCGTACAGCGTAGCCGACAGATCAGAGCAAAGCCAGAGTATGTTTAAAAAAGTTTACGGAAGGTGGTTAGCTCCCGAAGTGAAAAAATTTGTAGTACCTAATCACAGCCATCCTTTTAATTTGAGCTATGTCCAGGCCGTTCGAGTCTATGCCGGTCGGCGTAGCCAGATATGGGTTAATATTTTCTAGTGGCGGTGAAGCCGCCACCCTATGAAAATTCGTTGTTTCGCCTTTGTTGTATATTTTCTTCTTCTGATTCTATATATCACTGTTAGTTTGCCATGGGAATTTAGCGTTGAATTTTTAGATGCACGTGATGAAGACACGTTCGTTAAAAGCCAGGTTCATGGGCTGGCCAGACGCCAGAGTACCTGCTATGGCTCTAGGAGTAACACACTCATACATGCTTACGCATACGCAAATGATAATACAAAAATATAATGTGTTATGTGAGACTTTTCCAAGCCGTATGTATCCAGGCCAGTCCGTACAACATAGTCGAAAGATCAGAGTGAAAGAAAGGTATTACATGTTAAGTGATTTAATTAATTTCACTTTTTAATTTTATATGTAGTTTTTTTGAGCTGCATTTTTAAAATTAATTTGGTTGATATATTTTTTCATTTTATATACGATTATTACCGTACTTATCTTTTTGAGGCGAACGAAAAATGTATGATTTTTGATTACTTCTTTTTTTTTAATCTCGTAATTTATAAATTTTAAATAATCCTTAAAATTATAATTTTATTAACAACTTAGCAGTTTGTTATTTTTAAGACAGAAACTGTCACTTAGAGTAATTGTTTTGTGATTATAACCTGTAAAATTGGGATTTTTTTCGAAAAAAAATTTTTTTTCGAAAAAACTTTTTTTTTCGAAAAATATATTGCTTCATTCACAATTTTTTTTTTTTCGGAAATTTACTATAGAAACTAGTTACTTTTAAGTGTTAAAATTTTTTTTGTGAATTTCGTACCTCAGGATCCTTTACCAGACCCATTTTAAATAATAAATTCAGATTGTCCGACCCAACAGTTTCGGATAATAATAGTGAGAGCTCAGTCTTTTTCCGGTACTTCTGGATGATTAGTCACTTCCTTTTTTATTTTCCATTTGGCAGCACTGGCCGAAACCACACGAACCACACACGAAACGTGCACGAAACACGAAAAAGATTTTGACATATTACTACATAACCCAACTTTTTTTTAATTAAATTTTTTGATATGGCTATGGTTCAAGAAGACCCAATATTTCAAAATAATCCTATTTATATGAAAAGTCTGATAGGCAAATCAGTAGAAATCAAAACAGTTGACAACAAAGCCCACTCAGGTCTCGTTTACGTTATAGATCCAATTTTTAAAACTGTTGTTTTACATACAAATTGGAAAAGCGATGATGATTACGAGACGGTTATTATTTTAAAACATGCCATTGTAACTTTAGAAGTCTTATCAGAAGAAAAGAATGAAAATTACTTAGGAGAACTTTCAATACCACAACTTGAATGTACGAAACCTAATAGAAAATCTATCGTAAAAAAGTGGATAAAAAGCATGATGATTGATGTTAAAGAAAGTGGAGATTATTTAAAAATCGACGATTATTTAGTAATAATACCCCCCTACAGGGCAGACAATTGTATATGTAACAACACAATTATCTTAGAACGGATTCAGAAAATTTTGAATGAGATGCCTGAAGATTATTCCTAAACAGGCAAGTAAATTAAGACAGATTTTTCACTAAAGTAACAAGAATGTACACTTCCATATTGATGCTTAAGGGTAGTCTTGTAGCAAAATTATGTTTAAGAAGACAACCTATTTTTATTTATTTTTCGAAAATTTAAGATAAAGGAGAAATAACTGAAATTGATCTATAGTTTGTTATCTTCGATTCACCTATTTTTTATAAATTGAAGAAACCACTGCAATTTTAAAAGCTGGAGGAATTTAATCCGATTTAAAACTGTTATTAAGTGGCATACATTGGCTTACTATCAAAACCTCCTAAGTTAATTTTTTTCATCTAGAACAGTGATGTATTTAAAAATGCTTATCTTATATTAAGACAAAAGAAGTGCTTTTCCGGTTATTTCTAAAAATCACTCTACTCGGACCTAGGAGGTTTTGATAGTAAACTGACAGCACAACTTTTTATAGAATTTCAGATGTTTATTACCTTCTAATGTAATACTACCAATTGTTAACATTTTTGCTTAAGTTAGAGTAGTAGAAACAAAAAATGTCTTATATTGTTTACATTTGCATAAGATTAATAAAGAAATTCTTCTGTTATTTCATGCCTACTAGTTCAATTTTTTCTGAGCAGTTATATAAAACTTGCTATGGATTGAGGATCATCACCAAAAATGGTAACAGCGACATGGCCAAGACATTTTATTTTTCTAACTTCTACTCAAGAGTCATATGGTACTCTGCTATGGAGGTCAAGCACAGATGCTACAGATATTTTCAGGATACAAAAACGAGCTATCTGTATAATGAAAAAAAATAGGTTTTGCTGGCTTGTAGAATACATTTTAAATCCTTAAATAAAATTACAATTCCTGCATTATACATATTTAAGTGCATTTTATTTTTGTATAATTATACTCATTATTTTGAAGAGTTCAAATCTACTCAAGCTTATGGTACAAGGCATAATATTAACAACAACTTATCACAAACTGGTTATGAACAAGGAGTGTTATATTCATATACATTAAATCTGGCACATTAAAGCAAATTAAAAAATGTCATAACTATTCTGTGTAATTTAGAACCCTATTCCATCTCTGATTTATTATTAATTCAGTTTCACTCTGTAGTGTATTTGAATGATATGATAATTCGAATGATCCAGTTCAAGTTCTCGAGATATCTCGAAACATTTTAATATCATCACTACTTAAATTTACTTTTACTAAGATTTGAAATATTACTATGTAAATCTAGTAGCCATGTAACAATTCCGATTTTCAGAACAAGTCGACGCAGCAATGGTGCGGATATGCATTATCATATTGATTTATGTAAGAAAGTATTGAAAAACTAAATAAAATTAATACTGTTAACCAAATTAATTTAAACCTCCATATAAACTAAAATTAATATAACTCTTTAATGCTTACCAAAAATAATTATTAAGTGGAAGTTCAAACCATAGATTTTAAACAAAAAATTTACTTATTCTATTATAAACAAACCAACAAAATTTATATAAAAAGCAAATAAATAAAAAAATATATATACTGAAAAAATTGTGGGACTTTAAGAATTTTTGTAGAAATAGGTGAAAAGAGAACAAGATAGAAGAAAATTATTCATTTTTACAACTTTAACTACAGAAATCTTAACAATAAATTCTTTTAATAAACGTTTCCATGACATTACAAAAGAAGATTTTAATGAACTCAGCTATATGCCACTTTTAATGAATAACATTTTCAAATCGGATTATGTTCCTTGTTCCTTCAGCTTTAAAAATTACAGTGGTAATGAATATTATTTACCATCAATAAATTCAAAAAAATATATACTGTCTAAATACCACACAAACGACAAAATGTAAAAGTCTCCGCGACTACAAACCAAATTATAACTCTTTATATCTCAACCATCTACGCCACTGGTTTTTACAAACATTCTGGAATAGAAAAAAAATTGTACCCTGATAAAAATGCCCACCGCCTTAAGAAAATTACTGACTTTTTCTAACAGGTAGAAATTCATCACTCGGTTTGTTCTATTGTATACTAAATGTAATGCTTGATATTTATTTTATGTTTCTCCTTATATTTAAAATTCCTGCAGAACAAACTTTGATTGAACCCTATAAATTAAATTGAAAGTACATTTATTCAATTCATATTAAAACAAGCAGGTATAACACATTAATATATTCACTACTATCATTACAAACTATATGTATAAAAATAAAAGCAAATTCTTAGTAAATGAAATAATTTTATTGCAACACATCATTATTGAAATAAAGAATGGCTCGAATGTGGTCATCTTTAATGGTAAGTCAATAATACACAAATTTAATAAATTTTATAAAATACATTTTATGTGGGATCAATCGAATTAATTTTTGATTTTGCTTATCCAACCCCACATATTTTGTGATTGATTATATGTGTATCATTGTTTTACCATACTTATTATTGTATTGTGCTCTCCCATCACAGATAGCACATAAAGGGCAGTTTCTCTGTGACATTTGAATCAAGCTACTGACTCAAATAATTTTAATGTGAACGGAAGCTCGAAGAATGATGCCAAACCTAATGTCCCCTGTTCAAAATGACAATGTTGGCAACCCTAATGGTGATGCATATTTTTAATTTAATTGGCTAATGAAAGATTTTGAGGGAGAAAAAATGGTTTATTTATTTTTTCCGTTTCAGTCCATGGCAATCATCAGGCCTAGAAAATAAAAATGTGTTGTACAATTGGTAACAGCAATACATTTTCAAATTATTGCATACCTTGGGATCTGAACTTAGGTAAATATTTACACTTTTTCTTCCTCACTGTAAACCATTTTGGTTACCTATTTTATTACAGAAATGTCACATAATAGTTGTCATTTTCATAGCTTACTTTAATAATGTTACAGTAAATTAGGAAAAGCAGTCTTAAGCTATATTCGAAGTATAATTACTAAAAAAATAGAACTTATACAGTATCTTAATAAATACACATAGTATGGTGCAAATGAACGGAATGAATTATTTACTTCATAACTCGTTGAGTTTAAGAAAAAAATTCTGAAACCTGCGTTCTATCAGATATCCCTATCAATGATTTGTTTAAATAAAAAATGTGGTTCATTTGCTATATCATTTGAAAGATCTTTTACGCATCTATCCAATCGAATTAATATGTTTAAGAAATTCAGGATTTCACACTCAATCATTTTTATATCTTACAATTAATATTCTAGTTTATTAAATACAATCAAACTCGAAGGAAATCTTCAAAGGAAATGGTCAGAAATGTATGGAAAATTGCTCCACTCCAAATAAGAATAACCTATATACCAATTGGAAGATATTTTTAAGGAGAACATGTTTTCATTACGAATTATCTCAATTACTTGTCGGTTCCGAGTTATATCATCCTAAATGTAACTAATTACATGTTGGGCCAGTGTTTATATTCTGTTATTGCAGTGCTTATTACTAACAAATAATAGTAATTAATACTTCTTAGTAATATTAAAACAGTTATTATAATCTCCGGGTATATCATATATGATGCATTTGAGGATTGTAACAATAATAAAATCATGATTAAGCCATTTGTAACACATACAGGATGGGGCATTCTAAAGCGAATATTAAAACATCTATAATAATTAAAAATAAACGTCAACAGCAACGTCATCACACATACAACATCAGGTGATCACTTCAGGAAGTCCTACGCGCCAGCAACAATGCGATACTTTGTTATAATTATTAAAATATTAACGTTTTCTTATATAGTGATTTTTTTGTTCATTTTTTAACATTTATAAAACGGTCACAAAAAATATTTGTAAATAACGTAAGAGTATCCTGTGATCTCTAAGGTAACATCCAAACTGGTATGGGAATACCGGAAAAACCGATGCATATGGCAGAAGTGAATGAATAAACCATCATTTGTCAATAAACACAGTATGATCACAGGTTTGTAGGTGGCTCAAGCATGAACGGAAGACCTACTGGATAAAGAAGTCCACAAACATACGATGGACATGGGCATCCGGAAGGGAGTGGGGGGAAGGGGTCGATACGGGGCTCGCCTCCCTTGATCCATTGTTTATGTGTAATAAACTTATTGAAATAAATGTTAGTAAGTACAATTAAATTACTCAGAAATATTAATTACATTCTACTTAGTCTCTTGCCCCTTCCTGGAAATATTTCTGTAGGCGCACCTACCGAGAGGAGAATTTATTTCAGAACCCATTATCAAATGAACTTCCATAGTTAATACGACGGTTTCCAACAAAAAAAAAGAAATTCTGTGATTTGTCACATGTATGATATAACTCGGAACGGACAGACAATTGAGAGAAGTCATAATAAAAACAAATGTTCTCCTTACCGATATCTTTTCATTTGTCATATATCTTATTCCTATTGGGGAGTGGGGCAAAACTGCCCATTCTTCTTTACGACCGTCAGCTATAACACAATAAGATAGACAGGCAGGAAACTCTTCCCAAACTTTTTAAATAACTTTCGGAGTTATATTTTACTTTTAATTTATGGGTGTATTTAAACCTCTCTACTAATTTTTATTTCTTAAAGTTGTTTTAAACACTCTTGCTACTTTAAGTCATACCTAGTACCCGAGGACCTATTTTAAAACTTGAGAGATCTCATTTCTCTCAAGATTTTTATGAGAAATGTCATACGTCAACGCGGAAATAGTATTTTTAAAGCTAGTAAGAACTAAAAATCTAAGAATTTATTAAATCGAGATAAACAGTTGGGAGTTCTGACTGCCTTTAAAAATACTGTTTCCACGTTGACATGACATTTTCCATGAAAATCTTGAGAGAAATGAGTACTCCCATAGTTTGAAAATAGATCCCTTGATTATTTTTTGTGAAATAATATATATATATTTTTTTAGGTTTTCTTCATTAAGGACACCAATAAGGAAATAAATAAAATTCAAGTGATAAAGTGTATAATTTATTTTTTGATCTTGGATGTAATAGAATATAAAGATCTTTGTCCAATATAACGTCTAATAAAATATAAGTAAACATAACACAAATTTCTTAATATCATTATTGTTAAAAATCATCTAAATTACCAAGCTGAAAAACTAATATTTGTGCTTGAATCTTTAGTTTTAGGATCTGCATCTGAAGATTTGTCTTCATTATTAAATTGGTCAAATGTGTCTAAAAAATACTCTATTTTTTCTAATAAATTTGTAGCAACATTTGCAAATTCTTCCCATATTAGATATTCTTGAGTGACATACACATCCATATCTTCTGTATGTTCATCTATCCCAAACAACTTTTCTTCGTCTAAAAATCCAATAGAAACAAAATATTATAGTAGGTATATTTTTGAAGTAGATGTCAATTATATGTAATAATATACAGGGTGGTCCTTAAGTAATTGTACATAGAAGTATGGTAGATTCCTCACTTTAAAAATTACGATTTAAACCAACTTGCTTTAATAAAATGTTGCCAATAAGGAATATACAGGCTGTTAAAGGTTACATTTTAAGATTTCGTTTTTGCAATAACTTTAACGTTTTTGGATATGTATACATAAAATTTTGGAAATATACAAAAATACCGCTAACTTAAACAGCAAAAAAATTTAGGGCACATTTATGCCACAAATGTAGCTTATGTAGCGCACTCTACAAATTACATCGAAGTAGGTACCAGATTATGATTTTTCATGCCCAAAAACCTCTATTTCCAAATTTTTATGTATACATATCCAAAAACGTTAAAGTTATTGCAAAAAAGAAATCTTAAAATTTAACCTTTAACACCCTGTATATTCCTTATTAGCAACATTTTATTAAAGCAAGTTGGTTTAAATCGTAATATTTTAAAGTGAGGAATCTACCATACTTCTATGTACAATTACTGAAGGACCACCCTGTATAGTAATAAAAATATTCAATAATTTGTATAACTAATAACAATACTG